TCTCTTAGATTATCCCTGCAATATATTTTCATGTCGCAGATTAATGTCTGACTTTATATAACTACTTCAATTATTTATCCAAAAAAAATAATCTTTCAAAATTGCAATTGCAATTGAATGATTATTACCCCCAGGTTAAAAAAAAAAACCCTGCTGTGGAGTATTTGGGGATAATTTTAACACTTGTCTTTTATTGCCTTTACATTTAATGCTTTAATTTCAGATTACTATTGGTTTTACAAAACAATAACCGACTTATCTCCCCTTAACTGTTCGGGTGTATCCCCAACAAATTTGGCCCTCCTCAACAGACGTATACTTGGAACCTGGTTTCCCTTCTTCTCATTAAGATTAGTCTACCTCGAGCTTTGTATCGATACTATAAGTTTAGCCAAATTTGGCTTTTGTCATGTTGAAAATTCGCAAAAACTAGCGATCAAAAAATGGATCGGCCCTAACCGTAACGATCACACCCGTATATCACCCCGAGAAACGGGGGTAGGGTAAGATGTGTTCGGCTAGCTCTGGTGCAGACGTCGATAGCTATATTTATATATTTGTTGAAGCCTTTTATCACATAAACTGACCGTATTTGGTCTGCGAGGGAATTTTTTCAGCGAGACAATGATCTATTTCTTAATAAAATAAATAAAGAGCAAAGTTTAAGAAAATAGTTTTCCACAAATATTTACTTAGTTTTATTCTCCCCTTGGAAAGAGTAAGCGTATGCTGCAGCTGTCTTGGCGAAATTGTCCTCATTGTAAACTGCATGACGTTGTCCCTCATCATCATTCCCTAGTCCAAACTGGATCAGAGAATCTGAGCGTAAAAACCCCATTTAATTTCTAGCAATAGTTACCTCCCCCCCCCCCCCCCAACCCCCGATAAAGAGAGATGGTGTTCATCTAATATTATTTTTATTATTAATCTGACGAGACTGTAGCTAACTGTAACAATTTTAAGAATTAGAATCCGGAGTGTGGGAAGCCATCTCTCTACCTTCATAATCATCAATTATTATTTGTACATCATTTGTTTATATGGTATACTTCTCTTTGGTTTTATTGTACACAACGTTTCAACAATTTACATTGTCATCATCAGTTTATATGGTATATTACTCCTGAGTTTTATTGTACACAACGTTTCAACAATTTACATTGTCATCATCAGTTTATATGGTATATTACTCCTGAGTTTTATTGTACACAATGTTTCAACAATTAACATTGTCATCATCAGTCTATATGATATACTACTCCTGAGTTTTATTGTACACAACGTTTCAACAATTTACATTGTCATCATCAGTCTATATGGTATATTACTCCTGAGTTTTTTGAACACAACGTTTCAACAATTTACATTGTCATCATCAGTCTATATGGTATATTACTCCTGAGTTTTTTGAACACAACGTTTCAACAATTTACATTGTCATCATCAGTTTATATGGTATACTCCTGCTGGGTTTTATCTTCAGGATGCTACATGATAATCGAAGGGTAACTTAAGGTGATAAGTCTTCAAGTTCATGCTCTCCCCAAGGCTTGTATTTTTACTATAGGTCGGAACTACCCCAGACTTTCTGTAAGTTCGGAACCTATTTAGTATGCATGGAATCCGGGCAATCAGTAATTATAGAAATAGACTGGATGATAAAGTGTAAAATAATGATAATATCCGTCTTTAATTCTATACGACTCATTGATCAAGTCTAGACACCGGCAGGATAATCCATCACGAGATGTCCAAATTTCTAAAACTGTAGACGCAGTTGATGAAAACTGCGATTGAGGGAATTTTGAGATAATGGCATTATAACGGTTTGATGGTTGAAAATTTAATTTTTATCTTACCTGACCTAGAGTGATAGGCATCCAAATACAAAAAATTAGGCTGGTGACCCCAGTATATGGCAACTACCGCTTTGATGTTCAAAAATCCATGTTTATGTTTAAGGGACAGAGACAGGTTCACCATTTTGGGGGGTTGTTTTTTTTTGTATGAACAATATTTATTAACATAATGGGATTGGGGAAAATGCAATATACAAAGAAAAGACAATAAATATATTATACATGTAAAAATAAGAAAAATATACAAATGCTAAAGGCTAATTTTATAACTTATGGGTATTATAAAAATTTTATTGGTAAAATATTTAGAGATATGGAGTCACAACCGCCAGCTGTAAGATAGAAAGTTATGTACTGCTGTAAATATCTGTTCAGTTTCTAAAGGATAGCCAAATAAAAGAAGTTGTAAGGTTATTAGGTGTTTAGGTAAGAGGTTCATGGATTGGTTTCGTGCAATTTACAGTCAAGAAGGAAATGTTGATTATCTTCAAATCCATGGCCACAACTACAAACGGAAGTATCGGATATATGTCTCATATGCTTATACCCTTGAAGGTTGCTACAAGAGAGACGGAGGGGGTAGTGTACAAATATGACATATTTCCATAAAAGATACTTAAAACTAGTAAGTTTACTATCTATTTATATATATGTCTTATGGCAGAGTTTCAAGACATGGATTGGAAGACTGAAAATTCAACGAAGAGTTTCTGAGACTAAAGTACAATCTAACTGCGAACCTGTCCCTGGCTATAACATTTTAAAGAAATACATTTCTATGACGTTTTTGCTGGTATTATCAAACAATTCTGACCACAGGAAACTGTCTTTGTGTCCCGCTCAGTTATATGAGCATCCATCTTCAATTTAATTTTTGGGGGTGTAGTTTAAAACTAGAGAAGACCATTTTCTGAAAACGAAATCAAAAGAGAAATAAGGGAATCGGAACTGAGAAGAGATTTTTATTTTTCAGTGTCTTTATTCTTTTTTTTTATTAATGTACAATTATTTTGTTTTCAAACAGAGAAGGAATTTTACTGGGTTTTTTTCACATTTTGACATAAAACAAATCCAAGATTAATCCAACACCACGGAAATGGCGATAATTCAGTTTAACTACAGAACAATTCTTTTCTAAAAATAACCAAATTCTCTCAAAATTGTTGATATTGGTGGAAGTAATCTGAGAATAGGTTTCTATTAATTTAGAGAATAGAGCATAAATATTAAAAAACGAAAAAAACCATCATCATCATACAAGTGTTTGTTTATTTGAAATTTATTGGATTTCTTTCTAAAAATTGAAACGGGTAACTAAAATAGAATTACGACAATTTTCACATTATAAATAGACAATAGTTCATCCTGCCCTGACTTACCCTAAACGCCTACCATGAACGACTCTACCATATATAGCACCCATCGGCCCTACAAGTGCCCTGCACGACAATACTGTAAGTAAGGGATTATAGAAATTGTGTTATTTCTGATAGATATGTTCCAGAATAGAAGATATTCCTCGAATCCCAGTTATCTGATAATACAGAGATTAATTCCTGGAGGTTCGGGTTGATTTATACTCGATCTGGTAGTATCAGTGGAATACAAATTGAGTTATTTTAGATAAACATCGGCCGTAAATAACCTGCCACTTTAAACTAGGGTAGTAAACCAGCCACGGACACTTATCCTGCATTATAATCGTATCCATCTATCTCATAAGATATATAAAAACTCGGGTCGACATACTGGTAAATTGCAGAATCTAGGAAGATTCTCAGCAATCTGAGAAAATATGAAAGTATCTGATGATACCTGGTAGAATCTGAGAGTAACTGGTGATACCTGGTAGAATCTGAGAGTAACTGGTGATACCTGGTAGAATCTGAGAGTAGTTGATGATACCTGGTAGAATCTGAGAGTAGCTGATGATACCTGGTAGAATCTGAGAGTAGCTGATGATATATGGGAGAGTAACTGGTGATACCTGGTAGAATCTGAGAGTAGTTGATGATATATGGGAGAGTAACTGGTGATACCTGGTAGAATCTGAGAGTAGTTGATGATATATGGGAGAGTAACTGGTGATACCTGGTAGAATCTGAGAGTAGTTGGTGATACCTGGTAGAATCTGAGAGTAGTTGATGATATATGGGAGAGTAACTGGTGATACCTGGTAGAATCTGAGAGTAGCTGATGATATATGGGAGAGTAACTGGTGATACCTGGTAGAATCTGAGAGTAGCTGATGATATATGGGAGAGTAACTGGTGATACCTGGTAGAATCTGAGAGTAACTGATGATATATGGGAGAGTAACTGATGATACCTGGGAGAATCTGAGAGTAACTGATGATATATGGGAGAATCTGAGAGTAACTAGTGATACCTGGGAGAATCTGAGAGTAACTGATGATACCTGGGAGAATCTGAGAGTAACTGGTGGTACCTGGGAGAATCTGAGAGTAACTGATGATACCTGGTAGAATCTGAGAGTAGTTGATGATATATGGGAGAGTAACTGGTGATACCTGGGAGAATCTGAGAGTAACTGATGATGCCTGGGAGAATCTGAGAGTAACTAGTGATACCTGGGAGAATCTGAGAGTAACTGATGATACCTGGGAGAATCTGAGAGTAACTAGTGATACCTGGGAGAATCTGAGAGTAACTGATGATACCTGGTAGAATCTGAGAGTAATTGGTGATACCTTGGAGAATCTGAGAGTAACTGTGATACCTGGGAGAATCTGAGAGTAATTGGTGATACCTTGGAGAATCTGAGAGTAATTGGTGATACCTGAGAGAATCTGAGAGTAACTGTGATACCTGGGAGAATCTGAGAGTAATTGGTGATACCTTGGAGAATCTGAGAGTAATTGGTGATACCTGAGAGAATCTGAGAGTAACTGGTGGTACCTGGGAGAATCTGAGAGTTATTGGTGATACCTGGGAGAATTTGAGAGTAATTGGTGATACCTTGGAGAATCTGAGAGTAACTAGTGAATCCTGAGAGAATCTGAGAGTAACTGGTGATACCTGGGAAATCTGAGAGTAATTGGTGATACCTGGAAGAATCTGAGAGTAATTGGTGATACCTGGGAGAATCTGAGAGTAACTGATGATACGTGGGAGAATCTGAGAGTAATTGGTAATACCTGGGATAATCTGAGAGTAACTGGTGATACTTGAGAGAATCTGAGAGTAACTAGTGGTACCTGGGTAAATCTGGGGGTAACTAATGGTACCTGGGAGAATCTGAGAGTAACTAGTGATACCGGGAGAATCTAAAAGTAATCGGTGATACCTGGGAGAATCTGAGAGGAATTGGTGATACCTGGGAGATTCTGAGAGTAACTAGTGATACCGAGGAGAATCTGAGAGTAACTGGTGATACCTGGGAAATCGA